CTAAGTTGACAAGACTTATATATGTAACACTTGAGATCTTGTTCTTGCATCAACTTGCTTTAGCTCAACCTTAATTCTTCTTCAATGCTTTATAATTACTTTGGCATCATCAAAACTTTTGTGCATAAAGCCTTCCACATTTTTCATGGAGTTTTTTAATTGGCCTATTAATCAATTAGTTTATAGGCACACATCATATTTATTCAAAATCCTTGACGTAAAGTAGGTTTTTAAATAAATTAATAAATCAAACTAAACTTCAAAAAAAGTTAGAGCAACCTAATAAATGATTTATATATAATAAATAATAATTATTATTTAAACTTATTTTTTATAAAAAAAAAAGTTAAACCTATTTAAAAAAGATATCTTATTTAATTTGACTTATTTTTATTCTTATTATCAAAAGTGTAAAAATATATTACTTCTAATTGATCGATGTTTGGAGCTCATTTAACCTAAAACAAACGAGTTATAATTTAATGAGTAAAAACTATCTAATAATATATGTTACAATTTAACACGTAATATGTTTAGAGTATGTTTGATACATATTAAGCTACACGATAAGAAAAATAACACAGGATAAGTGTTTACTAAATAACTTTTTTGTTTTGTGCATTATCCGGTGAATAATGGCTAATACAAATAAAATAATATTAAATTTATTATAATATCTATTTTAATATTAATTATTATAATAAATTATTATTATCTTAATAGGGAGAATAATGATTAAAATTGTAACGACAACAATAAATTGATAATAATAGCAATGATTGTAATTGGAAAAAGGTGGTAAGGGTGACAATGGTGGGTTGCAACAGCAATAATAGTCACATAAGAGGTATTAGATATATGGATGACAAAGGTAAGGGTTGAGATGATATTGGTGTTACACCATAATAGTGAATATTTTTGTACTTAAAAGAAATAGTTATTCCATATAGTTTATCAAGAAAAAGAAATTGAACTTTTATCTGATCCTTCTTCATTTTTTTTATCCTGTTGCATTATTCTTTTATAAATCAAATGCGAAATAATTATAATTATCTTATCCAGTATAATGATTTGTCACGAATTAAACCGAGCCTGAAATGATACCCTAGTACTTTTCTTTTTCGTAGTTTCAACAACTGGACTCGAGTTAGGCTCTCCCTTAGGCTAGTTTGGCAGTTTCTGTTTGACCTCTTTTTCTATTTTTCTTTTTTTCTTTCTTTCTTTCTTTTATTCTCACTTGGTGAGATAAGATAAGGACATGTGTTTTCTAGGCTTAACAGTTAACACTGACATTTTTCATGGAATCCCACCACCCCATCATATGCTTGGAGGCCACCCTATAAGCTATTTGTTTGGATCTTTTAGAAAGTTGGACTTCACTAACAAAAGTGATTACCACCAAGAGGGAAAGAAAAAGGAGAGAGAAAAAGAAAGAATGACTTGCCTAACTATTCTAGATCCGAACTACTTTATAGTATATGTTCGTTAATTTCCACATTCTCCAAATATTTAATTGCTACTAAAGACAAAGGCAAGTATCATACATTGCCAATTTATAAAGTGGTTAGATGGTGACAATATTGAAGATGTTATCTACCTTTAGGAAGGACTAGGGAATGGGACTAAAATGGTTTCTTAACGTAAAGATAGACAACACTAACATCAATTAATATTAGTTTATGTGTATTATAAAACAATTACGATTGAAGATGGTAGGGTGGCAAGCGATCCATGAAAGATACTTGAGTAACATACTTTATGTCATTGGATTATGGTAAACAAATCTCCAAGCATGATGAAACAAATAAATAAAAAAAGCTTTTGAATCACATTGAAACTATGATCAGGGTTCACGCGCTAACCTTTGTTGGCGAATTTTAGTGGAGAATTGACAAAAATCCCAATATTAAAATTGAAGTTGCTGTTTTACTTTTTGTGTTTTATTTGATACATGGGTTTGTAGCATCATTTTTGTGTATATAATAAACTATAAGCTTATGAGTTAGTGCCTCGGAAAGTATAGACAACTCCAAATCCTACATACATAATATAATTGGATTAATCTTTCTAGTTACTTGGAGATCACTATCAAGATCATGTAAATTGCTATTTTTGTTTTATTTGAAAGGATAGTGAGTCGTTTTCCCGTATTGCATGAAGATTTCTAGTGCATAGTTTTTTTAAATTACATTTTTTTCTTATTTAGGGTTTAGGGTTCATTGGTCTAATTCTCTTCGTTTTCTTTTCTAATTATATTAGAACTATTTAGCAAATACGTACCTAGATATTAACAGAATAATTTTGAAAGTTATACTACTTAACAATTTAAAAGAAAATGAAATACACTAAATTGGAGGATTGGATTTTTGTGGGATAAAGTATATTCTTTTCTTTCGTTGGTGCACTTGTATTTATTTGCTTTTGATGAAGGAGGGAAGGGGTTTGGTATAGAAGCACTATGTCTATATAAAATCCTTTTAGTGTGTGATGGACATAGAAAACGGATACAGTTATCAAAGTGGTTGGCCCATGATTCAACTTGCTCAATTCTGAAACAATAATTGAGAAGAGATATGGACCCTTTTTATTGCTCCTGTGCTTTAACCATTGTTTGTGTTGTTCTTGGTCAATCATGAGATTCCCACATACATATATTAGGGCAGTGGTATCCTACATATTTCACACGATACTAAGCTCCAAACACATTACTATTGTTATTTTCTTACAAATACTAATTTCGTTGGTGGTATTGTAAATGTCAAAAGACTAATCTCGTTTTTAGTATTGTGATTGTTGTTACTTTAACTACATTGCAATGGAACCCATTACTACATCATTTGTCATTTTTCCCTTTTGCTCAAAAGCTTAAAAGTTTAAAAAGTATAACAATTATAATTTTAATCTTGAGTCCTAGGGTTGAGACCCAACCACATCGATCTCAATATGTTTACATGAAAACTACATCAAAAGGGAAAACAAAATCAATCAATTCATGATTGAATGTATATTGTTGTTGTTCTTGGTTTAACTTGAGAATCCTACTAAAATTTTCTTCACTTATGACCCAACTGCATCTGCTAATTAACTTATCAGTTAAAGATTTATTTCCTTCAACGTTTAAGACAAAAAAGTTTTTTTCAAATATCATTATACACATTTTTTTTGTAGTATCATTTTTACACTTTTTTTTCCCCTCACGTATATGATTTGTGTCAAATGCTACGCTATAAGCAACAAAATTTTATTGTTTTTATTTTTTAAATAATTTCTATAACTTCTATGTCTTTAATTTACCATTCATAATTTAATCATTTTTAAAATTAGGTTACAGTTTAATAAATATATAAACATAAAAACAATTATACAATTTGTCGATCACGTTTTAATTTTGTTTTAGTCTTTCACAGGCTTTAATTACACAGGCCTAGATGGCCGAATCCGAAAGCCTTTCAGACATTCTTTTACAAAATTAAAAAAAAAAAAAGGCCTTTCAGATATATCTTCTATTGGGCTTTTGTTGGTCCAAGTCATCGATAAATTCATATAGATTCTATATATGGTTCATTTTATTTTACATACACATAAACTTAGCGAGCATAACATACAAGTAATTATTTTTTTCTAGAAAATCATTACATTATTAAATGAAATTGTCATAATATAAAAGTCGAACGATGGGATGAGGCTTTACTATTTTAATTAAAAATGTATTATTAGTATTATTAATTATTAATAACTACAAAGTATAAATTAATAATTTATAATTTAACATGTTTAACCTGGGTTAATCTATGTATAAAAAAAAAAAAGGGTTAATCGATGTCCACCGAAAGAGAAAAACTTTGTTACTCCTCTTATTTTTAATGCTCTTACTTTTATAGAAATATTTATTTTTATGTTTATTAGAAAGTAATGTAAATATATTTTATTCTCAGAAAAATTGCATATTTAGTGTACTAAAAATTTTTATATTATTAAGAGTGAAAAAGTGATATTCTTAAAGAAATTTTTTTGTTATTATTATTTTTAATTTTTTAATATAAATTATTTTAAATTTTAAAAATATTCCTAAGAACAATACAATGTGACTAAACATTTTTTAAAAATAAATCTACGTTTTTATTTACAATATTTTAATCTCCTATTAGTGAAAAATGAATTATTGTATTGTTATAAATAGGAGAGTTTTATTTTCATAATTAAAGGCCCACATAATATATTCATATGAAAAATATTGAAAGTTTTTTTTTTTTATAGCTCTTGTAACTTTTAATCTTAACTAATTTTTATTTAAATTATTTTAAAATTTAAAAAATATTCTTAGGAATATTAAAATTAACAGAACATTTTTTCTTATATTCTTAAGAATAATATTCTAGATAATATTATTCCACCATTGTGAAACAAATGCATCCAAAAAAGCATATATTTTTTATTTATCATAATTGTAATTATGAAACCTTGAAAAAAAATATATTAATCAACAAAAAAGTATATTTGAAAAAATATATATTTATATTAATTTATATCTATACTAATATATAAAAAGATATTTTTTTCATTAACCATCTTGATCTTTATTTTTTTTAACTATTATATTTTTTATTTTAAAAAATTAAAAAAAATATTTTTCAATCAAATTTAAGAACTTGAAATTAATAAATTAATTATAATATCAATTTAATTCATATATTTTATTATTTTATTTTTATTTTTATTTTATTATTAATAGTCTATTAGTTAATATATAAAAGAGATATTCTTTTTAATAATCATCTTAATTTTTACATTTTGTTGGTTATTATACTTTTTATTAAAATCAAGACTTTAAAATTAATTATTAATTATAATACTAAATCAATATATATTTATTATTTAATTTTTATTTTTATCTTATGTTGATAGATATGCGAGATATGACGATCCTGTAAAAAGGGCTTATTGGGCTTACAAGATACCCAATCCGAAGCAAGTTGGCACATATTGCTGCTTTCTCCAACTTCCAACATTTGAAAGCATCGCAGCAGCGGCTTGCCACGTTTCAACTTTCAACCCGTTTCCTTAACGCCGAAGCTATCACCGAAGGGTACAACCGTCATTTCACACCCAACCCTTTCTTCCCCACACGCGCATTTACACACACAAATCCAACTTCGCTCTATTCTGATCGAAAACGGAGATGGGGCTTCTGTCCAACAGGTCCCTACGCTTCTTTTTCATTCCTCCGACGTTGCTAAAATAAAAAACACGCGTTTTGGTCTTTTGATTCTGCGTTTGTTGTTTGCGTTGGGAAAAATTAAAATTTAAAAACTGATTATTGATGAATGGGTGCAGAATAACTAGGGAGAGGCTGAAACCAGGGGATCACATCTACTCTTGGAGGACTGGTTATATATATGCTCATCACGGTTCTCTCTTTTCACTTTTCTATTTTATTTTTTTATTTTATTGTATTTTCTTCTTTGGGTTTTCATGCTTCTGGAGTTTGTGCTTCCAATCGAAATCAAGTAGGAGTTACATTAACAGTTAGTGATTTTCCGAGTTTTCCCCAGCATCAGGACTCAGGAGATTCAGAGTACAATATGTTATCAATTTTTTTATTTTTTTATTTTGAGGTTTTAGGGTTATAGAGAGGTTTTGATGTGGCCCTTGAAGTACCTGTGTGTTTGTTGCCTCTTTGATTGCAACCGTGAAAAGGGGTTTCATTTTTTCGAAGTTAAGCCTTGAAAAATGATGGAACTTGGCCCTGTTGGTGCTTTTGTTTTTAGTAGCATGAACATGGGGAAGAGAACAATAGTGGAAAAGCAACACATTGATGCTGACGGTATCAGAAAGAGTTTCATCTTCAGGGCTTGTGGTTTGGAATGGAATGGATATGATATTGTATTGCTGAATAGTTTCTTAGTTTGTGACTTGACTTTTACCCTTGAAGACAAAAAAGTAGTTTCTTCTTGAGAGATAATTAATTATTCAATAACACTTGTCTTGAGTGACATTACTTTCAACTGTGAAGTGATAACTGGCTTCTATGCTTTCATGGGAATTGGGAAAACGATAATTAATTAATTAAAATTAATTATTATTGGCCAGCCAGGCCTTGGAAATTTTATATTGTAGGGTGAAGGAAAATTATGTAGATTGAAATTTTCTCTTCCTTGGTTTAAAAGAAAACAAAGACAAAGTAGGGAAGAAAGAGAACTCTAGAAATAAAAAATTTAATTTTTAATTTCAGAATTTTCTCACATCTTCATTTTTTTCCCACCTCATCCATGTTACATATCTTGTCAATCAGGATAATTTGACCATCAGTTAGCTTCTTCTTGGAAGTCTTAATTAAGTTTGAAGCACAATTTCACTTTTAAATGATGATTTAGCATTATACATAAGAGATTAATAATTGAGAGAACTGTATATTTTGCTATGTGGATCATGGAAATTGAATAACATGTATGATGAGGGAACAAGTGAAGATTTCAACTTTAGATAGAGCCAAGGTTACTTATGGAGAGGAATTTTGAAGTCATATTGGGTCTTGGACGATGCTCTTACATTATACTGTTGAGAACATGTGCCAGGCAACTAAATTTTCAAGCATTGTCTTTCATTAACTAACAACATTAACACAAAAATGTTAATTTGTTCGGTTAAGTGGATACAATGGTGAGCCATGTGGCTACTGCAGTACCTCTTACAATGGTGTTATGTCAGAGTTCTGTCCTACACCTTCTGTTCCTAGGAATCTCTCACTTAGAAAATTTCTGTATGATGTATTATTATCAGACTTCACATTGCTTATCAACTATTATTCACCTTATTTTCATACTTTCTTCTGTTTATGCATAGAATTCTATCACTTCATTATACATATATATATTGGCTATTGACAATCAGCTGAATCACATGCACTACAAAAAACATCTAGATTGGGTTATGCTTCGTTTATATAGATCATCTTCTGTGTCATGACAGAATCTGTTATTGTATCTTAACTCTGAATGAATGACAGGCATATATGTGGGTGATGACAAAGTCATTCACTTCACTAGACGTGGGCAAGAAGTCGGAACCGGTACTGTGCTAGATCTTCTCCTCATTAGTTCGGGACCAACCAGGACTCAAGAAATTTGCCCAGTGTGCACAGCGCCCCAAGAGGCACACGGGGTTGTCTCCTCATGCCTTAACTGCTTCCTAGCTGGTGGTGTCCTGTACCGGTTCGAGTATGCAGTCTCCCCTGCCCTCTTCCTTGCAAAAGCCCGCGGCGGAACGTGTACTCTGGCAGTCTCTGACGAAGATGATATCGTGGTCCATCGAGCAAAATATCTGCTCGAAAATGGCTTTGGGTGCTACAATGTTTTCAAGAACAACTGTGAAGACTTTGCTATCTATTGCAAAACTGGACTCCTAGTTGTTCAACAAGGAAGAATGGGACAAAGTGGCCAAGCAGTTTCCATCATAGGGGGGCCTCTTGCTGCTGTTGTATCAGCACCGATTCGAATGGTAACCACCAACGTTTATGGAATGGCAGTGACGGCCATTGGAGTCTACTGCTACAGTAGGTATGCTACAGACATTGGAATGAGGAGTGATGTGATGAAGGTACAAGTTGAAGAGTTAACAACAAGGCTGGCCACTGGGTTGTTGCAGGTGGTTGAACCCCAAATTCAAGCTAATGTTGTTCGTCAATCTCCTCAGCTTGTCACTCAATGATTAAGCATTGTGTTTGTTTAAATATTTGACTAAGGATATACCGGGTATGTGAGTCTCATGCGTTTTTCTTTTTGAATATGGGTGTGTAAGCGATATAAAATTTAATGGAATTGTACTATGGATTTGATCCCTTTTACAAATACGTTTAGTTACATGTTAATTTTAATTTATTGGAAAAGTTTAAATAAGTATTTATTGAGAAATTTATCTAATAAGATGCCTCCTTCGTGTGACAGGTGTGTTTATATTGGGGTAATTTTCTTGTATTACAAACCCATCTTGCATTCTTGTCCAATTTTGATGCCCGGATCGTGAGAAAGGATTATGTTTATATTGTGATAATTTTCTCGTTTACAAGTCCATCTTGCATTCCTGTCCATTTTTGAAAGTACATGATGAATTTGAGATATGAAATGATTTAAAAAGTTAAGGAAAAAAATAGAAGAAATTTAGCAAATTGTAAAGTTTTTCATTGGACATGAGATTAGCGTTTGGAGAGGAAAAAAGTTAACAATATCTTTTGTAGTTTAAATTTAATATTTTGGTTAGTGAACTTTTATGTAAATAACGTTTCACACAATTATTTAAAATATGTATTTGGACAATGTTATACAAAATTTAGAAAGGGAACTTTCAGAAAATTTGGGATTTTGTTTTTGTTTGAGATGCCTCTCTCCTTTCGAGATGTGCTTCTAGGGTTGTGTCATTGGGTTTACTTGTGGTTTTTATGAATTGTGTCTCTTGCTTGTATCGCTATTAGGGGTACTCTCTTTTGTTTCAACTTCTTTTTTAGGTGGTTTAGTGTGGCTATGGCAAAAATGATGGGTTTGGAATGTTTGTCGATAGAAGAAGAGGAGGAGACAGCGTTGGATATCTAAGTTGAAGGAAACAAAGACAGTGATATTGACTATTCCCTCTATCTAGTAGCCTTTTTTTCTCATAGATAGACCAGTCAGGGTTCAGATAGTGAAGGAAAGCATGGTAGGAGTATGGCATCCTAGAAGAGGGGTTTCAATTAAGGAGGTGGAACCAAGTCTTTCTCTTTTCCAATTTTTCCACGCTATAGATGTTTAGAGAAAATTGAAACCAGGACCCTGAACCTTTGATAATTATCTTTTGACTTTGGGGGTTATGCAAGTGGGGGGTATTTTGAGTGAGATCTCCCTATTCACAATCTCATTCTGGGTTCAAGTTCATAATCTCCGAGTAGGTTTCATGTATGAACAAGTTGGTCAACATTTGACATATTTTATTGAAGAATTCCTCGAGTATTATGTCAACAACACTAATTTCTAGAAGAAATATATGAAGATCAGAGTGCTAGTGGATGTTAGGAAGTCCCTAAAAAGAGCAAAGAAAATTAAAAACCCTGGTGGGGAGGCAAATGAAGTCCAGTTCAAATATGAGAAGCTTGGGCCTTTTTGTTTTCTATGTGGTCTTCTTGAGTGTACTGATAACTATTGTGAGAAATTGTTTTCCACACCAATAATACCAAAGAAAATATATACATGTGTCAATTCATGGAAACGGCTAACTAGAATATAACGAATGGATTCCAAGTTTTATTAACTGAATTTTTAAGTATTTGGTGTGTATATTACAAGATAAAATAATTATTGTAGACGTCATTTTTTTACTTATATGAAAACCTGGTTGAATGACATTATCTATGTTTTCTGATTATATTTTAAATCTATGGATATCACAATAAAAGTCGAGGATTGTGCTCAACATTTGTTTCATGCCCATGTAAAGGAATTAATTTCTTAAAATAAAGGTTAAAATCCTTATTTGGTCCCTTATAATATTTTTTTGTTTTAATTTAATCTCACTTTAATTTTTTGTTTCAATTTGGTCTCTAATAATTTAAATCATTGCAATTTGGGACTTCTGTCCAAATGATTTGAGTTAACTGGTGGTCACGTGGATGCCACGTAGATGTACAGGTGGATGCCAAATTTCATGAATACATGTGGAACCAGAACGGCCTGTTCTGCTTGCACATGTTATGTATTAATTTTGCAACTGAAACGGGCCGTTCCAAATGCAAATTTAACACAACTGAGTGCATCAGAACGGCCCGTTCTGAAACCAGAACGGACCATTCTACTTTTAGAACGGCCCGTTTCCAGAACGCCAACTTCATGCTTTTTATTATATTTTTTTTTCATTATATATATATATATATTAATAAAAATACAATAAATTAATATTATTTATGAATAAAACTAAAAAATAAAAATCAAATAAATAAAACCTTCCAAAATCCTTCTTTGATTTGAACTTATCCAGTTCAAAATCTTGACCAAAATGCCGCAATGTGATTCAAAAATTGAAAATAAAAATTCATAACATATCATAAATTCAAAGACAGAAACATGGTTCAGAAATTGAAAATAAAAATTCAGAACATAACATATACTAAAAAAGTTCAAAGAAATTACTGAGAATGCACATTAAATAACATATACTGAAAAAGTTCAAAAATTCATCCTTGACTGTATAGTGTCAATTTGGTAGTAAGTGATTCACTTCAGTTTGACTAACAATGAAATAAAACCTGCTACCATTGTCCTTAGTGATACACTGCATCGTCCTTAATGATATACTGTATAGCCTAAATGTTTAGCAATCGAAGTTATCAATCCCCATTGACAATATTACCAAATATAGTGTTTGAAATGCTTTGTACTTGAGTTTTTTTTCGTGAAAATTATGGAACCAGAATGGCCCGTTCTGAAACCAGAACGGCCCGTTCTAGGTTCACTCTTGGTGTGTAAATTTTGTACCTGGAACGGCCCGTTCCAAGTACAAAATTTACACACCAAGAGTGCAATCAGAACGGGCTGTTCTGGTTCCAGGTGTATTCAAGAAATTTGGGATCCATCTAGGTGGCATTCACGTGTCTATCAGTTAACTCCGTTTAAATCATTTTAACGAAAGTCCCAAATTGCAATAATTTAAATTATTGGAGACTAAATTGAAACCAAAAATTAAAGTGGGACTAAATTAAAACCAAAAAAATATTATAAGGGACTAAATAAGGGTTTTAACCTAAAATAAAATAAACATTGACAATCACCTTATATGTGTTTGATAGTTAAGATATGACATGATAAGATAGGATAATAATCTATCATATTATAAATATTATCTAACATTTATTTTATTTTATTTTATTGATTTAGTGTATTTTTTATTTTAAAGGAGATTTGAAGCAAAATGATAAGATAATTTTTCCCTCTTTTAGATATACATATATTGAGAGAGTGAATGAATCTATTATTTACTTCAAGAGTAAGTTTACTTAGACTTACTTCACTCAATAATTCTTATTCTACATCAAATTTTAATAATTCAACCATTAAATTAAAAGTTTTTAATATATAGATCAAGTTTGCAAATCTTTTAAAAAAATTTAAAATTATTTGATACTTTGTTTCATTAATTAAAATCTCTTATAAACTATTTTTATGATTATCTGTCAATTTGAATTAATAAAACGAAATATCATATAGTTTTTAAATTTTTAAAAAACAAATTGTAGAAATGATCTATGAATTAAAAACTTTTAATTCAACAGTAGGATCGTTAAAATTTGATATAGAACATGAGTTATAAAATGAAGTAAGTCAAAGTAAATTTACTCTTGGAATAAGTGGATCTATCCTCATATATATGTGTGTGTGTGTGTGAGTGTGTGTGAGAGAGAGAGGAGGGATTCATGTACTCTAGTAGACTTACTCCTTTCAATAACTTATATCTTACATCAAATTTCAACGATCCAACTACTGAATTTAAAGTTCTTAATACACAAATCAATTCTGCAAATTTTAAAAAAAAAATTAAAAATCATTTGATACTTTATCTCATTAATTCAGATCAACGTATAAAATGATATTATGATTATCCTTCCATTTAAATTAATGAAATAAAGTATCAAATGATTTTTAAATTTTTTTAAAAATTTGCAAAATTATTCTGCGTATTCATAACTTTTAAATTCAATGATTGAATCGTTGAAATTTGATGTAGAACATAAATTATTAAACAGAGTAAGTCTTGGTAGAGTTACTCTATATATTACAAGCTTGTTGTTGTATAGGCTAACGTTAATTGATTCTTAAGCCTAAGCAAGTGATTCCAAGAATAAATTTAGTTTCTTGATTGAACTTCTGATTCACTACAAATAGCTACCTAACAGTTGTAAATTAAGTTTTTTGGTGTTTTAAAACTTAAACAAAAATATGATAAGGTAAAGTTTGTGAGAAAGCTATAAAGAAAGTTATAAATATTTTTATTTTTATGATTATCCTTCAATTTGAATTAATGAAATGGAGTATCAAATAGTTTTTAAATTTTTTTTAAAGATTTGTAGACATGATCTATGAATTAAAAATTTTTAATTCAACAGTTAAATTGTTAAAAATTGATATAAAACATGAGTTATGAAATAAAGTAAGTTTAAAAGTAGTGGAGCTTAATAAACAAAAAGAAAATCTTCGGCAATTATTGTTAATGTAAAAAATAATGTCCAGCAGTAAAGTCTTGATCGTAAGTATGCGTGTAAGTTGGGTTAGCAGTATGGAACACGTTTTTTTTCTTTCTTTTTTATGCTTAAGCTTTGGATAAGAACGAAGACAAACTTCTATATTACGTCATGAAACAATTCGAAATCGATATTCAATTTCGTTAATGTCGTGATTAAGTGTTGATTTCTTTTGTACTGTTAGTTAGTCTTCCTAGACTATGACAATAATTGAGCCATTAGAAATGGATTAGACCTGAGTCAAGTCTAATAAGGATTATTTTTATCATATATATTTCTACTTGATATAAGATATAACACGCTCTTCACGTTCATGCCTCCATAATTTGTTTGTGAATTTTGCAGATTGAATATTTGCAAATTACTCAATATTAAAACTGAATAAATTCTGATATTATATAATATATCAGACCTAACTCCTCAAAAGTTAGTTAAATAGATAAACGTTATTCAGGTCTTATAAGACGTATTCTGATCATACTCCTAACTAATACAACACATTTTAACATGAATTATTTTAATTTATTTTTCTTTTTATTTATTGGTTATGGATTGCTTAACGTTATATATATATATATTATATTATATTATTGGCTAGTGTTAATTGATTCTCTCACTAGGGGAGTGATTCAAGGAATG